TACAAGACAAATTTGATTTTGCACTGCCTAATGCATTTGTTGGGGATTATATAACACGTAGAATTTATTCTTCACTTAATTACAATGAAAAAAGGCTTAGCTATAGGGTTTAGAGCTTTTAAAAAAGGCTCAGCCACAAGGTTCTGAACTTAGAAAAAAGGCACAGCCTTTCATGAAAAAAGGGTCAGCCATAGGGTTTAAAGCTTTGGAACCCACTACGGTAGTATCCTCTCCATGTTCTTCCACATGCAAGACATCCGATTAAATTTTGTCACCACCTTCTTCGACATTACAGTGGTATTCTCACCATGTTCTTCCACATTGCGGTGGTATAATCTCTACTTACTCCCTAGATGTCCATAACTAAAGGTGCACCTACTTCCCCTAACTATCTGTGTGGGCCTAGGCACCATCATATTCTAATTGTGGACTCTGGCCACCATAGCCATGCCTTTATTGCTGGTGCTTTTCATGACATACTTGGGGACCTTGTGCAAACTGGTGAAATGGTTGGGTTTGACTAATAGGAAAATGGGGTATTGAAGCAAAGAAAAGAAGAAAGACAAAGGGAAGGCACAAAGTAGAAAGAGGAAGAGGAAGGTACTAAGGAGAAAAAGGAAGAGGAAGGCACATATTACTTATAAATTGATGAACAAGGGTTTGCCCAACGAACCACTCAAACGGGTAAGTAATAGGTAAACGTCGAGCAAAGGTTGTTGTGAACACGAAAATTTCCTGAAACGAAAGAGACAAGAACAACGTGCACAAAATAATATTTGTATTTGATGATTTAGGGTTACAATCTCTCTCTATTTTGATCCTCTGATTCGATCTCCGTAAGGTATTGATTTGTGGATGTTTCGTTGATCCAAGGGTCGTCGAGGCTTGATCTTGGATGAACTGTTGGAAGTTTCTTCAAGTGGTCGTGGGCTTGATCTTTGAAGGTGGATTTGAGCGGATCTTCAAGGAGCCGTTGGGGCTTGATCTTGAGGATGAGTATTTCTTCAAGGGCCGTTAAGGCTTGATCTTGAATAACGGTGATGAACGGATCTTCAAGGGCTTTTGGGCTTGATCTTGAAGAACAGTGATGAACGGATCTTCAAGGAGCCGTTGAGGCTTGATCTTGAGGATGAGTGTTTCTTCAAGAGCCGTTAAGGCTTGATCTTGAATAACGGTGATGAACGAATAACGCTTTCTTCAAGGGCCGTCGGGGCTTGATCTTGAAGGTGGATGATTGTTGATCCAAGGGCCGTCGGGGCTTGATCTTGGATGAACGATGAACGAAGAACGAAGAAGGCTTTCTTCAAGGGTCGTCGGGGCTTGATCTTGAAGGTGGATGATTGTTGATCCAAGGGCCGTCGGGGCTTGATCTTGGATGAATGATGAACGAAGAACGAAGAAGGCTTTCTTGATTCTTCGAGAACCTGGATGCTTGAGAGCTTCGGAGTTTCAGAGCTTCAGAACTTCAGAATTTTGCCTAATGATTTTGGTTCCTCTAAATGAATGAATTAGCCTTCTATTTATAGAAATTTCCAAGGCCTAATTTTGAATATAACATTCCAGATGAAATAAGTCGTTTCTGCCAGGTGTTGACACGTGTCATGTTTGATGACTTTTCCAACTCATTTCAATTTTTTCGTCGAGTCACACGCTAAGTGTAAAATTTATGTAATACATGAGCGTTGAAACTTTGATTTATCGATCAACATTTATTTACCAAAATTTCGATGTCTACAGTTGTGCTGATGGATATTTATTACATGTCATTATTGGGCTTATGACCACCAACAGTACACTTAGCTGACAAACGATGTTGTCAGGCAAACCCTTCCTAGCCAACAAATACTTAATTGTTGGGCAAACCCTCTCTTGTTGCGCGCCTTTATTTGCATCTTTGCGTCAAAATGTTGCCCCGCGACGTATCACTTGCCAGAAACAATTGTCCATCGCGTAAAATTTTTGAGTAAACCCTAATTGTTGACCGTCTTCGCCCTACTAACTAAAATATTCGTCAGAAAAAGTCCTTCATCCGACGAAATTTGTTCTGTCACGCAAATGTTTGTAAGAAGAAGCCCTATTTACAAGCCCTATTATGTTAGGACTCACTTTGTACCTTATTTATTTACAACCAATAAAACAAGTGTCATATAATGTGCGACATCATACGATTATGAACATTTTGCAAAATAACTTACGCACACAAAACACATCGACCCATGAACCTAAATAATGGTTGAGATTATCAGAGTCAACCCATGTGGAACCACAATGAATAAGGTGATTGCAGAATAAAGCGAGGTGATAATGTCTATCTGTCTAGTCTTTACATTATGAAGATAGAGGTTTCAAGATAGATGCTAAAGAGACTATTTTAAAAGTGGTATTTTTATGGACTCTCTATCATTTCATATTTTTTGCTAAATGTTTTATAATGTTGGCACGAAATTGACGTTAAACTGTGAAGTGACAGATAATCCGATGAAGAGTCATACTTTAAGAGAGTCTCCTTAATATTTCTCGAGGTACCATATATTCCTTTTAAAACTCTTGACAACTGAATAAAGCTCCCCCCTCCCTCGCGGTCTCAATTCACCCAACACAATCATCGGGGGCGATGGAAAAAAAGAGTTACCCCACCCCGGTCGCAATTCACCCAATACAGTCATCGGGGGCGATGGCAAAAAAAGAGTTGTGGATCAGACACGAGCGAAATTTCCACCATTGGCTGAGATGTTTAGTCGACTCTTTCCCTCTTGACGGAGTCCAAACTCCTAGGAACGATTAAACAAGGAGGAAAGAGACCCTAGCAAATGTACTACAAAACGTTCAATGAAATTCGATTGTTGTGCAAGTAAATTTGGGGTTCAGATAAAACTATTCTTCAAAATTTAAGCCAGACATTGTTTTAAATGGGTTGTAAAACAGGTGATGGTAAAATCTCCACTTTGTAAATTTTGTGCAATCCATGCAAACTTGAGGGTCTCTTTTTTTTTTTTTTTTTTTTTCTTCTTCTAATTTATTATTAAGTTTTTCGTTTGTGAATATATATGAGGAATGCTACCATTTTTTGTATTTAGATATTTTCACTTCTTTACGTTTTTTACAAAGACACGTGCCACTCAAATAAATAAGTCACAAAAAGGTCATAGAGAGTTTTTGGTGTAGAAGATTTGAAATATATATTGGTAGCGTGATTGTTATTGACCGTTTTATGTGGCATTGATGTACTTTCATTTTTCCATTACATGCATGATTCTATATTTTGGATTTCTGTGCCATGAGATTTTTTATCTTTTCTTTGTTTTTGGTTTTGATTAATTCAGTTGTTCTTCTCATCAATGCAACTCAGTACCATATGATCTATAGCGTACTTTTGGCCTCCTTATCAAATAGTACACCATAGTAGAGTTCGAGGCCAAAAAAATTGAGTCATTAGAGTTCAAACTCAAGTTGACCTTTCAACCGTAAAACTAGTATTAATCTCTACATTGTAAATTTGTAATCTAATATTATGTAAATGAAACTTTAGTATCTAACATTGACGGAAGGCTAATTCTTCTCCTCATGAAACTCGGTATCAAATGATGTGCATCATACTTTTGGCCTCCAGATCAAATAGTACACCGTAGTAGAGTTCATGACCAAAAGTCATTCAAGTTCAAACTCAGGTTGACCCTTCAACCCTAAAACTAGTATTAATCTCTCCATAGTAAATTTGTAATCTAATATTATATAAATGAAATTTTAGTTTAACCCAAAAAAATATTAATGAAATTGTACAAGAATATAATGGTCCAAATCAGATTAGTATCAACATTGATTCCATATGATTCATGTATAAACCAGAAAACGGATCATCATGCATGTTTCATGCCCCTAAGCTAATTTCTTAATTATTTAAGAAAATAATACTATAATATACAGATAAAAAAAATGCAACTAATTCCATAACTGTAATAACTGAAATGGTATCAGAATATGTATATTTAATTTGGAGTCAGATTTGTTCCCTCTGTGGGAGAGAATCTGATGTGAGTTGCATGGGGACACATGTGATCACATGAGGTTTGGAGTTAGGGTTCAGAAATTGGTCAACAAATTGCTTTTGTTGAAGAAATTCTACCAAAGCATGTGCTGCCAAGCTAAATAATTAAATAGGTGAACCAACCCATAAGAATAATTAATTCAACTGAAAATAATATATTCATATCCACACTGTTGTGAAATTGAGAATATATGTGCAGTGGAATATAAAATAAATAAGATACAATATTTATGAGGTTCGCCAAGTGTGCTTACATTCTTGGGACAGCAACAGTACTTTCTCTCATTATCTGAAATAATAGGAGTAAAAGATAACCCTCACTATTTTTCTTTACTCTTCCGTTTTCTTTTTGTTGCTAGTGGGAGTGACCTTGGCCGTCATTATATAGGTAAATGAATAGGTTATTACATCATTGCTTACATAGGCATGATGTAATTGCTCACACATGCATGATGTCATTCACTCAACCAAATAATGGACATCCATATTTACAACACACACAAATTTGTCTACTTTTTTAAGAATTACCCAAAACAAGTTGGATGCCAAGCGTGGCTAAACAAACGTGGTTGGAGAAACAAATTGGTATGAACTCGTCATCTACAAAATTTATATTTAAAATCTCTCATTTACAAATGAAAAGAAATAATACTAGACCGTAGTACTAAATAGACTTGATTATTTTAAAGTTCGTAATTGTCAAACGCAGCCGTTTACAAAACGTGTCCCGCAAGAAATCCTCTTTACGTGAATTTTGGGACCGTCTATCGTTCAAGGTATTATTGCTCTGCTAGACTAGTGCTTGTTCTAGCCTGACCCGTTGTACACCTCTAGTTATCCATTGTGATCTCAAAATTGGCAACATTATATGCTACATGCAGCAATGATGTCAAAAATTGCAGAACAGAACGTATAGCTAAACAAGTGTGCAACGAAATAGTATATGAACAAAACGCTGAAAAATTAGTTTACAATTCAAAACTTCTAGATTCTGTATGAGTTCCGTCCTCTAAAACACTTGATTTCAAATCTAAGGATTCATGGTATCAATCATTGGAATTGATATCAAGCATTCATATTAAAAACACTAAAAGCACATTCATGTGTCTGCAACAGGTTTTGTTCAAAGCAATCAGGCAAATCCACTATATTTACCTTGTACCGTAATACATTCTACCACTTTGTACAAATGAAGATTCGGGGCAGGAGCAGTGGTTTTGAGATCAACTCCTCCCACCAAACTGTTCTTCCCTGCTACCATCCCTATAAAGAATGCTGCCTCGATGTCCCGTTACAAAATGAAAGCGAACTCTGAAACCTATCCTGGCCCTTCACCCATCCCAACCAGCCTAATATAAGTTTACAATTCTAACTGGAAATAAGAATACCACACCCAGGACAATGGAAGTTACAATGAAGAAAAGCACCTGAAGTGGAGAAAAATTTGGGGCGGATTTACAGGAGTTGAAAGAATTGAAGCTTCGGTTAAATCCTTGTCAAAAACGTGTACCACAAAGAGGAAGATTGTGGAAGTGATTGCCTTACTCCTGTAAAAATTGGAAGTCTTGATTCTCCGAAAGTTCTGCGGGAGGTTTTACATCTGAATAGCTCTGGTCTTGCATGGAACTAGATATATCTTCAATCGAGAAAGGAATGCTGCATTCACAAAGCATGGTTAGTAGAAGTTTCCAACATCAGCATTCATAAACGGAAATAAAACAAAAAAAAGAGACTTCCTAACCTGGAATTGTCATCCAGCAAGAAGGAGCTGCTATCATCACTGCTGGAGTCATCTGTCATTAGAAAGTTCATGCTGGAAATGACCTGCAAAAGGAAAGTAGTTTCACTATATCAGACTATTACGGATTAAGCTTTGCAGTTTCCAATCAAATTTTCAGTTTTCTCAACTCACATCAGGGGAAACACTTTGCGTGTTGTAATCATCATCCAAAAATAGTGTGCATACTCTATGAAGTTGTTGAACACTCAAGACCTGAAGAGAGAAGCATAAATGAGCTAGAGACAGTGCAAACAAGAAAATCAAATTTATTTGTAAATGAACCCACGTCTATTAACAAGAATCTGCAGCTTCAACCAGATGCAGACAAAAAATTCATTTCATCTTCCAGTTTCACAGAGAGACTTACAGGGCATAGGTCATTTGTTAGTTCATCATAGGAGATTCTGGACTTTTGGTGTAGAACCTGCAGAGATCAAATAAGTCTTCAGTTCAGAACTAGCTAACAACCAAATGAAAATAGATTAGCAGATGAATTTCCAATTTGAATTCAGTACCGTGCCCATTAATTTAATTAATAACCATCTTTGTACAGGAAAACGTAATCATGAAATAAGGTGACTACATTTCTCCACATTTCAATTTCAAATATATAGAGAAAATTCGACAAAAGCAATCCTTCATTCCTTAAATAAATGAGTGTCAGAAATGTTGCTACTTGCACAATGAAAAATCAAAGTTTGGATACTTTGGAACAATTCAAATGCATACAACCTACAGGTTGACAAGCAATGCAGAACACTTCATACAAATCTGTGATGGGAGATAAGCAAGAAAGGGAAATCCATGCCAATTTCATTATTAATGTCTAACTCTCTAGAGTTAACACAATTGCTTCATCTGCTGTATTTGAGTATAACGATGTTAACAGTTACAAAATTCATAACATTGTCACATTTCTTCCTTATCTGGTCTTATATTCCTCTTGATGAATAAGAAATATTTTTATTTTCATAATCCTTATATTTTTAATAAAAAGAATAAATGGTTATTAATATTTCCAGTCTTTGTATAAATATTAAATACCAGTTGGTGTGAATTGTACAATAACTACCAACAAGAACCATCAGAAGCAACACAACCGAGAAACGTACCAAGAATCCTACAGCCTGCCTAACATATTTGAGTTCATCCCATGATGAGCCAGCATACTGCAATGAGATGAAACGTCAACCAGAAATTATCAAAAGAAAGAATGACGGAACAACCAAAACTATTTTCAAGATGGAAGGCAGGGAGGATTGTAGGGACTTTAAAAAATTGAAAATTAACCTTTCACTGCTGATAAGTTTAAAACAATACCTCTTCTTTTGCTAGGCTACACCATAGCTCCAATTCAGCTAGCCCATTCTTCACATATTGGCCATTGCTGAAGGTGCAGCACTCTCGACGAAGAAGAAGGCTGCAGCAGAATCAAGCAATAAATCAGCCACAAGTTAACCCCGTCATATTTAATTTTTGTATTATTTATTGACAAATATAAGAGAGTACTTACCTATTAAAAATCTGTACATTGATGTATGAGAACATTTGAGTAAATATCTTCTGAACAATAATTGGAGGCACCTGAAAGAAGGTCATTCATTGGATTAAAATGTCGCAAAGGGATACTAACCACCTTGAAAGTGTCATGAATATTGCTTACACAATTTTCTTTAAATGTAGTGAGAAACCCATTAAGATTTGCGATGATGCTATTCCAAGGATTAGCCCGAGGACTGTTCCCAGTTGATCCTTCGGGTGATTTTGAAACACCACCTTTTGCCGTTTTGGGTGCCTGAATCATCAAGGAAACACGTGACCCCGACTTAATTAAATGATACCATAAAATATAATAAACTGAAATGTTTCATGTAAGAGATCTCTAGCATATTTAACCACAATGATTCATCAATCAAAGCTAATTCTTGGCAACCAAATTTTTGACACATCAACCAAGTTACCTAACTTGCATTCTCACCAACAAAATGAATCACAAACCTAACCAAACCGGTATAGAAGCCATCCGTGTTAACATAGCATATGGTAAAAATTTCCTGCCCTTGGCAAAAATTTATGAAAATGACCAAGAGGTAATCTTCACACTAGCATTTAAATCACATGCTTACTTCTAGAAGGTATGAACCCAGGAGTATAGCAAAAGTTAACAGGAGAAATTAAAGCTGAAAGCAATTACTTTTCCATCCTAGGACTTAAAAGAATGTAAGAACTAAGCTAAAAACTCATGCCAAGTTCCAATGGTGTAATGCCAAACTTCATTGTACCTGGATGCAAGAAGAAAGATGAAGTGACAATTCCTTCTTCAAATTGTCTCGGACGATTCCATATATCTTTTCCACATATGCTGTAAGTTGCTGCTTAAAGAGCAAAGCTGGATACTTGGCCTCAACCTGACGTACTAAATCAGAAGCACCAACTGAAAGATTGGCAGAAGAAGATCGGAAGCCCTACAAAGCAAGAACATCATATGACAACAAGCACAAGAAGAAAGAAATCAGATACCCAGAAAAAAAAAAAATCAAAATGATACATGAATAAAATAGATTTCATTACTTGGGTCATCCTTCCAAATAAAGATGTGGGGGTAGGAGGCTTTCGTGGAGCAGTTCTTAAGCTCCGCTGGAGCAAGAACAACAATGTAGATGTATTGGAAAGCCAATAAGCCATATGATCAATGTTATCCTGGTCCTGTAAAGAAACATATGTCATCAAACTCAAGTTCTGAAAACAGTGCAGCATAAAGTCCCAAATTGCTTTGGACCCCTGCATTTCTTAAAAAAAACCTAATCTTGTTTTCTCTTGATAGCTTCAAAAGCTTTTATTTTATTGATTTGGTTAACCACTATAAATATGTGGTTAACCACTTAAATAAATAGTGGTCCTTCGTGAATATGTGGACACATCTTTAGAGAGTTTCCTGTGTGCTATACAAAATTCAACAGTTCGTATTCAGATTCAAGTAATTGATAGTAACCCAAAGAAATCACTGAGGGAAAGCACCCCCATCAAATTAGAATTCATGATCAAATACACTCATCAGTTAGCATAGAAGTCTTGTAAAAAAAGTTCAATGCAACAGAGTTGTGAAAGGGTCTAACCCCCTATCTGCTTTGATGACTGGTTCAGTTCTAATATTTTAGTAAAAAAAAATTTATAGTGGATATTAATTTACCTCAATTGCAGAACCAATTATCTGAATAAGTCGGTCAAATACACTAGTTTTTTCCGCTTCAAATAATCTCCAGTGCAGAAGACATTTGTATGTTGTTATTGCTGCAACTGGCTTTCCTTCACTGAATCCAAGATTACCTGTCACTAATTTCATAAGAGTATCTACACCCTCCTGCACCACATAGATGAATAATACAGAAGCAGAATAAGCTTCAAGAGATAAAGTAAAGAAAAAATAAAATAGATAAGAGTAAAACCAAATAAAAGAAAATTCAAAAATTGGAAAGAATGACTTGCTTCTCAAATACATACATGTTGCCTTTCAATTTGGGATCTCCTGAAAGACTCTGAGCCAAATTTCTTGGACGGTGTAGTTCTCAGTGGTTCCTACATTAAATCAAACCTTAGGATCGTACAAAGAACAACAAATAAACAGCTATGGTAAACAACACTTGATTTAAATTATTCACTTACATGATGACCATTCCCCAAAGGCTGCAATTATAGGGGGAGAAACAAAAATCAATAAAATGTTCTTAGCAGGACAAATGCAAAAAACAAACATTCTTGTGGGAAGCCTACCTGAGCTGGTGCTCCAGCCAAATGCTCTGACATTTTCATAGAAGCTGACATCTTTAATGCTTGCTGACGCAAAATATGGTCCTCGGTTTCTATGTCAGAAAGTTTTTCTTCTAGCCTGAGGAATGATACAGGCAGTGAACTATATTAGAATAACAAAGCACAATTAAGCATAAAAATCAACTATTCAATTAATTGATTGAGTAACAATCAGTGATGCATCCTAATCCAATTTGACAGAAGTCAAGAAAGAACCTCTGCATGGCAGTCTTCAAATCAATTATCTTCGATTCTGCCTCCGTAGCCTGCTTGAGCCGCTGTTCACTAAGCCTGCTTGTTTCTTCAAACTTTTTCTCTGTTTCATCAATCTTCTTTTCCAGTGAATCCACCAGGGCCTGCAAAGATCAGAGCTAAAAATCATTAAGAAAAAAGAAACAAGGCAAAAAAACCTCAGACAATTGTATACTTGAAAGCAATCACAAACTGATTGTTTAGTGCATAAAGTTATACTTTTACGCCCTCTTTTACTTAGGTTTTTGACTTAAAATCTATGCATCACAAGGTATTTTGTTGTTTATATTGTATTTCAGGATGAAAGTAAGGGCTTGAAGAAATCATCTTATTTTGAATATTTTAAGAGCCTAGAATGGATAGTTTGAAGCCCAACTCGCCCAAGACCAGACCATAGCCCACAAGTTGCCCAAGATCTGCCAGAAAAGGCCCTCGCAGAACAGCCAACTTGCGAGCTTTCCCCCGAAATGCTCATAACAAATTAGAAAATGGGCCATATACAATTGGAAAGCCCTGGAAGTCTTCTTTCTGATGGTCTTTACAGCTTGTGATTTGGAGGTTTCGACAAGAAATTATGACAAAATAAAGAGTAGCTGTTTAGTTACAAATTCTGATAACAGCTAGTTTTCAGTTACTCCTATACTAAAAGCTGATTGTAATGAGCTATAAATGAGAGTCAATTTAAGGATGTAAATGTGTCAGATGTTAGAAAACTCCTAAGCCTTTTAATAGGAGAAAAATACACAAAATCTGAAAGAGAAAAAGAGGAGATACACAACATCAAAGAGGAGGAGTCCTCCACCTTGAGCTGTTTCTAGGTTCTAGCATTCCTAACTTTTTATGTATTTTGTTTTTATGTATTTTGTTATGTTTTTAATTTAGGTTATGGATACTTAGGGCTGCTTTGAAGCCCTAGACATGATTGAATTAATGTTATGATGCAATTTTAGTTTATCAATTTCATTTGCAAGCTAGAATCAGTTTTCTGTCTTCAATTGTTTCAAGCACATATTTTCAAGCTTAGCTACCTTGTTTATGTTTTCTTTCTGTTGAGAATGATAAGGATGACTGCCATATCTTCTTTCATTCCTTAGCAACATGTGATTAGGTTCAGAAATAATCATGTAAGGTGATTCCATGAAAATCTAGGATAAATGCCATGTTCTAGGGTTCATGTGATGTTCATAATCCTCTTTGTTCTTAATGAGTTTCTAGGTGCTAAATCTAAGTATATGCCATGCTAGGTTGCACCTACAAATATAAGTTTGATGTATATGCCATGCATCTCACGTGCAAAGAAAGTGAGGATTCATACAATCTAGTTAAATGCCATGCTAGATATGTGAACATCTTAGTTGTGCATTTGAAATGGATAAGTCAAAAGATCATTTCATTGATTCATGAATGTTTAGGGGAAGGACTTAGCTCATTTTAAGTCAGATTTCATGTCTTAAGTTTATTTTTAGATAGTTCTAAATTTTCCATTTTCTTTCTGTCTTTATTTCTTTTCCAAACTTACTTAAACCCCCCCCCCCCATTTTAAATCATAGGAGTCATTAACTAATGCTAATATGTAAAAGTCAAAGATTTTACTAGGTTGTTTATCAGTCCCTGTGGTTCGACACTCTTACTTGTGCCACTATACTATCCTTATATTTGCACTCGAAAGGAACTTCAACACTAATCACTTTATATACCTGAAATACTAAAACCCAAAAAGCATATGAGAGTTTCAGTGCCTTTACCTTAAGCTGCTCATTTTCGGCAGTAAGCTTATTGACTATTTCCTGATCCACAACTGAAATCTCCTGTACGACTGGCATTTGTTCAGCTACTTTTGCTGCAGCCTCAGCCGCTTTTGCTGCCTCCTCTGATGCTTTTGCTGCAGCCTCACGTTCCTTCATAAGCAGGGATTTAGTTTCTTGAAATTCAAGTTGCATCTCTTTCAAAGCAGACTGCAACTTCGCATTTTCCTTTGTTTTGGCCTCTTCCATATCAGCCTGCATTTAAAGAATCCCTCTCTTGTTATGCATATACCATAATTTTTTTCAGACTTGATATATAGAAGTCAAAATAGATTTATTGCTCTTGTGCCTCTTGTCAAACTAAGAGCCTTAATCAAGAAGGATCCAAAAGGATGTATAAATAACAATTCAAACCAAAGGTACATGGTGAACCAATGATATAGGACAGTACACAAGATGGTGAACCTATGATCTTTGGTGGCTTTTGATGGTAGAAATGCGAACAAATATAAGAGGTTTACATAATAGGAAGATAAAAAAACTTAATCTGAGAGACGATAAACAATAAAATAGAGAGGAGAAGAGAGTATAAAAATAGATTTGTTATTGATAGACTCTTGCAGTATGATTATTATTTGAACCAAGTAGGCTTCAACATACAAGCTTCAACAAAAGAAAATTCAAAGAACTTAGCGAAGAAGGCTTTGGTGTATTTAACACAATACGTTGAAATGAAGGAAAGCTTATTTATTGATATCCCCGATAAGTTACAAATATGTACATATACTTGAGTCAAAATAAACAAACAAGAGGGAGCCTTCACAAAGGTTGCTTAGGAGAAGTCTCAGCAGTCGGTAGAGCCCCAGAAAGAGAAGGCACCGGAGGGGGATCATTCGGAGCCTCAGTACTGGACAAAATCCTAGAAGGAGGAGGCATCAGAGGTTGATCATTTGGAGCTTCATTATGCGGTCCAGCCCCAGAAGACGAAGGCAATAAATGCCTTTGGAACAAACCCACAAATCTCTGATGATCAAGTAAAACCTGACCATCAGATTCCTTCATCTGGTCAAGCTTCCTCTTCATGTTTGTAGCATAGTCATGTGCGAGCCGGTGCAACTGTTTATTCTCATGCTTGAGCCCTCTAATCTCCTGTTTGAGACTCATCACGTCAGCCGCCAATGATTCAACTTGGCGGGTTCGAGCAAATAGGCGTTGGGCCATATTAGACACAGAACCTGCACACTGCACACTGAACACTGAGAGCCAGAGAATCCTTAACAGCCAACTCATCAGACCAACCGTTTGGAAAGTAGTCTGTTATCTTTGGGAGTGAGAAGGTTCCTGGCCACTACCGCAGCGGTCATATCATTCTTCATCACGGAATCCCCAACGGTAAGAGGACCAGTAGGGGAGACGAAGGATGGGCACCATATGTTGTCTGGAGAAGGCGGGGCTGCCTCTTCAACAAGGTTCAAGTCAAAACGACGGTCGGAGGGGCCAGACATTTTCAAAGGTGTTGAAGAGAGAAGAGGGTCGGACAAATCAAGATCTTAGAAGTGCAAGAATGGAGCTTCTACTGGTGGATATTCAAGTGTGCTTTGGAACTTAATGTCAGCCCCTATAAAAATCTGCACTCGACGAAGCTTCAGAAATCGAAGAGGGCGCCTGCTCAGAAATCGAAGAGGCGTTTGCTTTCTCAAAAGCTGGGCTGCTCAGAGACCACGAGGGTCGATCTCAGAAATCGAAGAGGCGTTTGCTTTCTCAAAAGCTGGGCTGCTTAAAGATCACGAAGGCCGATCTCAGAAATCGAAGAGGCTTGCTTTCTCAAAAGCTGGGCTGCTCAGAGACCACGAGGGCCGATCTCAGAAATCGAAGAGGCACCTACTTTTCCAGCCTTGTCAGCACCTGTCACACGCACACTCAGCTTTGCGGAAATTATGGGCATTCTGTCGAAGATTTCTGGCGAAGTAGAAAGCACATGAATCGTACTGTTCAATCACCCACTTCCCACACGCAACAGTAACTCATGGGTACCACAGATAACTTTGCCAAAGTTCTCTGACAAAGTTGAGACACGTGAAGCTTGCAGCTCCCGCTACATCGCTCTGACCAAGAAGGGTAAAAGAATTGCAAAGAAACAACACTAACAAAGTTTAGACACATAAATTTTGAAGGTTTACCTACCATATTATTACCCACAAGGGTAAAGGAACAGTACCACTGCTGGATAATTGGAAAGTCCCGGTGTGTCAACCTCTGTGCTTCGTGGCAAGGTAGACTAGCAAACATGCCCAACCTTTACTCACATTCGAGAAAACACTCCCAACAGGATTGCTTGCTCCAAAATCGAAGAGGCACCGCCCTCCGAATCTCGAGAGCCAGACTCCCAACATGATTACTTTCTCAAAAATCGAAGAGAGGGTAAAGGAACAGTACCACTGCTGGATAATTGGAAGTCCCTGTGTGTAACATGATTACTTTCTCAAAAATCGAAGAGACACTGCTCTCCGAATCTCGAGAGCCAGACCCCCAGCAGGATTGCTTTCTCAAAAATCGAAGAGGCATCGTTCTCCGAATCTCGAGAGCCAGATCCCCGACAGGATTGCTTGTTCGAAAACCGAAGAGGCACCACTTTCCCAACTTCAAGAGCTGGATCTCCTTGGATAAAGCTTGTCTGTAATCTTCACACGCAACATCAGCTTTCCAGATACCACAGACCACTTTTTCAAAGTGCTCTGACAGAGTTAAAACATGTGAAGCTGGCAGCTCCCACTACCGTGATATGACCAAGCAGGGTAAAGGAATAGCATTATTACTTGATGTTAGGGAGACTCCTATATATGTCGACCTCCATCCCTAACGGACAGGCAGACCTGCAAAAATGCTCAACCCTTTCTCTTATCTGAGAGGGCACTCCCAACGAAGCCTTTCGAAATATTCAGCTTTCTTTCCCCCCGATAATACCTCTGTAAACAAGCTATACTAGAGCAAGAATATCTCATATCATCAGGGTTAAAAGCAAGAGTATCCCATATCATGCTTTTTCCCTGTCTTTTCCTTTGGCCTTGTTCTTACCTACAAGACAAGGAGAAAGAGAGCAATCAGTCAGCACTTGGAATCAAGCTTCCAGCCAGGAACTGACTGCCTGGAACCCCTTACCTGATTACTTACCTGGCATTGCTCTCGAGTACTCATCTTCAACATCTTATGCTTCCAGGGAAGATACCGCATCTGCCTGAGGAACAGATAGGGCAAGTGAGAAGGATACAAGGAAGCATGTGGAGACAAGCGTAACAGCACACGTGCCGATACATCCACTACTCTGTCAAAAGCAAAAGTCTCCCATATCAGCAGGGTCGAACGTACTCTAGATTTGATGGACTTGTTTTGACCCTCAAATTCTTCAATCGGCCTTATACTCTGGAGGAAACCAGAAAACCCTCCAGCCCGGTTCAAGAATAAGCCTGTGGAAAGTTACTTCTTTAAAAGCAAAAGTATCCCATATCATCTCTTCTCATTTTTCTTCTCTTTATCCTTCATGCTGCCTGCAAGATAGGGAGAATGTGAACAATCAGCCGGAGCTCTGATTGCTTACCTTGTCTGTCACCTCTTTCAGCAGATCCCCTAGCCCGGCGACTTGGGGGACTCCTACTACATGGTTTGTATCGCGCTTGACCAAGCCTGAAACTACAAGTAAGCTTCAAGTGAAATTGATACATTACCTTGTGCATCTCCACCAGTTACAGATACCACCCCTGGATGGAGGAAGAGTACTTCCAGAGAAGATGCCACATCTACCTATGAGACAGATAAAGCAAGTCAAGACGATACCACACTCCGGTACTTAGAAGTTTCGTGGTTACGAGATCATTCTCCCACAATATTTCCTAATGTCATTTGTACTAAATCATTCACTTGTACTCACTAAAGGAGAGCTTGAACCTATGTACTTGTGTAAACCCTTCACAATTAATGAGAACTCCCATATTCCGTGGACGTAGCCAATCTAGGTGAACCACGTACATCTTGTGTTTGCTTTCCTATCTCTATCCATTTATATACTTATCCACACTAATGACCGGAGCAATCTAGCGAAGATCACAAAAAGTGACCATTTTCGCTACCTAGGATCTATCTTGCAAGAGAACGGAGAATTAGATGGAGATCTCAACCATAGAATACAAGCTGGATGGATGAAGTGTAAGAGTGCATCCGGCGTGTTGTGTGACCGTCGTAGGCCACTGAAGCTCAAGGGAAAATTTTATAGGACGGCAATAAGGCCAGCGATGTTGTATGGCACAGAATGTTGGGCAGTGAAGCATCAACACGTACACAAAATGGGTGTAGCGGAGATGAGGATGCTTCGTGGGATGTATGGGCACACGAGAAAGGATAAGATTGGGAATGAGGATATCCGAGGTAAAGTAGGAGTAGCCAAAATTGAAGGAAATATGAGAGAAAATCGGTTCCGGTGGTTTGGACATGTGCAAAGAAGGCCTACTGACGCTCCGGTTCGAAAATGTGACTACGGGACAGAGGTTCAGGGCCGAAGGGGTAGAGGAAGACCTAGGAAAACTTTGGAAGAGACCCTAAGAAAAGACTTGAGTACTTGGATCTAACAGAGGACATGACACAAAACCGAGCGCAAGGGCGTTCTAGGATTCATATAGCCGACCCCACTTAGTGGGAAAAGGCTTTGTTGTTGTTGTTGTTGTTGTAGGCTTTGTTGTTAGACTTGGAAAGATGGTTTAGTACAAATCCTTTCGAAGAGTATACTTTTTTTTCTAACTAAAAAGTTGTTACTGCATCAACCAAATTTCATAGAGAACTCCGAGCAGAAAACATTAAAAGACAATTCTTCTTCAGCCTACATACAGAATGCTTTTGCAGGCTTACAACCTTAGATCAAACATTTCAAAGGAACGTACATGAGGAAAACTTTATCAAGTGGAAAAGATTGGAGTATTCACCAGGAAATCATATCACCAAAGTTTTTTTTGTGGGTAACCTCAGCTGATTGGCATATCCTTCAAATATTGATTACATGATTGCAGTCAACGTAGCTATGTAGGATACTATGCATTAACATATTACAGAGAAGATAGGGATCATTACCCTCATTCGCTTCTCCAGTTGCAGGCGCCAGGTTAGCTCTTCAACTTCCTTTTCCAACTTATTTTTGGCTTCTTGGAGAGCACCAGTTTCCTTAGCAGCCTGCAGAAAAGGAAAAGTTAATTAAAAAATATAATGCTCATTTTGCATGTACACTCTGTTTGAAACCACTGTACATTGGTTTGGAACAAAATTTCAAATATGATACCAGAGAGGGAGAGTTCGGGCTGGTTTAATGGAGCAGACTTGACCATGATTTTCATTTATTGATACTATTTTTTAGTATGCGTCTTCTAGATGGTGGAACCCATCACTTACACAAGATAAAGGAAGTCCCTAAAACCAGATCAGACATATTTAGCTTTTTTTCTTCTTGTTAAAGAAATCGCCAGTTTTTTTAGCCTTTTCAATAGAGTTCTAGCACTTTGTTATTTCAAACACAAAATATAAATGTATATAACAAAGTTGTGGACTCAAACCACCAAATGAACTGAAATATGAATTACATTGTGTTCCGAACAAGGCCAAAGAAGAACAGAAACTGAGTCAAGATCTTGAGGTGTTTTAGGTTGAGAATTAAACAGTAGAAAAATAGAACTTGGCAAAAGAAAACATAGGCAAGACAAAAGTTGCTCTCTTAAAGACAAATAACATAGAAATTTATAAAGCACAAGACAACAACAACAACAACAACAAAGCCTTTTCCCACTAAGTGGGGTCGGCTATATGAATCCTAGAACGCCATTGCGCTCGGTTTTGTGTCATGTCTTCCGTTCGATCCAAGTACTCTAAGTCTTTTCTTAGAGTCTCTTCCAAAGTTTTCCTAGGTCTTCCTCTACCCCTTCGGCCCTGAACCTCTGTCCCGTAGTCACATCTTCGAACCGGAGCGTCAGTCGGCCTTCTTTGCCCATGTCCAAATCACCGGAACCGATTTTCTCTCATCTTTCCTTCAATTTCGGCTACTCCTACTTTACCTCGGATATCCTCATGCCCAATCTTATCCTTTCTCGTGTGCCCACACATCCCACGAAGCATCCTCATCTCCGCTACACCCATTTTGTGTACGTGTTGATGCTTCACCGTCCAACATTCTGTGCCATACAACATCGTTGGCCTTATTGTCGTCCTATAAAATTTTCCCTTGAGCTTCAGTGACCTACGACGGTCACATAACACGCCGGATGCACTCTTACACTTCATCATCCATCCAGGTCGTATTCTATGGTTGAGATCTCCATCTAATTCTCCGTTCTCTTGCAAGATAGATCCTAGGCAGCAAAAACGGTCGCTTTTTGTGATCTTCCCTAGATTGCTCCGGTCATTAGTGTGGATAAGTATATAAATGAATAGAGATAGGAAAGCAAACACAAGATGTACGTGGTTCACCCAGATTGGCTACGTCCACGGAATAGAAGAGTTCTCATTAATTGTGAAGGGTTTACACAAGTACATAGGTTCAAGCTTTCCTTTAGTGAGTACAAGTGAATGATTTAGTACAAATGACATTAGGAAATATTGTGAGAGAATGATCTCGTAATCACGAAACTTCTAAGTATCGGAGTGTGGTATCGTCTTGACTTGCCTTATCTGTCTCATAGGTAGATGTGGCATCTTCTCTGGAAGTACTCTTCCTCCATCCAGGGGTGGTATCTTTAACTGGTGGAGATGCACAAGGTAATGTATCAATTTCACTTGAAGCTTACTTGTAGTTTCAGGCTTGGTCAAGCGCGATACAAACCATGTAGTAGGAGTCCCCCAAGTCGCCGAGCTAGGGGATCTGCTGAAAGAGGTGACAGACAAGGTAAGCAATCAGAGCTCCGGCTGATTGTTCACCTTCTCCCTATCTTGCAGCAGCATGAAGGATAAAGAGAAGAAAGATGAGAAGAGATGATATGGGATACTTTTGCTTTTGAAGAAGTAACTTTCCACAGGCTTATTCTTGAACTGAGCTGGAGGGTTTTCTGGTTTCCTCCAGAGCCGACTGAAGAATTTGAGGGTCAAAACAAGTCCATCAAATCTAGAGTACGTTCGACCCTACTGATATGGGATACTTTTGCTTTTGACAGAGTAATGGATGTATCGGCACGTGTGCTGTTACGCTTGTCTCCACATGCTTCCTTGTATCCTTCGCACTTGCCCTATCTGTTCCTCAAGCAGATACGGTATCTTCCCTGGAAACATAAGATGTTGAAGATGAGTACTCGAGAGCAATGCCAGGTAAGTAATCAGGTAAGGGGTTCCAGGCAGTCAGTTCCTGGCTGGAAGCTTGATTCCAAGTGCTGACTGATTGCTCTCTTTCTCCTTGTCTTGCATGTAACAACAAGGCCAAAGGAAAAGACAGGGAAAAAGCATGATATGGGATACTCTTGCTTTTAACCCTGATGATATGAGATATTCTTGCTCTAGTATAGCTTATTTGCAAAGGTATTATCGGGGGGAAAGAAAGCTGAATATTTCGAAAGGCTTCGTTGGGAGTGCCCTCTCAAATATGAGGAAGGGTTGAACATTTTTGCAGGTCTGCCTGTCCGTTGGGGATGGAGGTCGACATATATAGGAGTCTCCCTAACAACAAGTAGTAATGCTATTCCTTTACCCTGCTTGGTCATAGCACGGTAGTGGGAGCTGCCAGCTTCACATGTTTTAACTCTGTCAGAGCACTTTGAAAAAGTGGTCTGTCGTATCTGGCTCTCGAGAAGTCTTCGACAGAATGCCCATAATTTCCGCAAAGCTGAGTGTGCGTGTGACAGGTGCTGACAAGGCTAGAAAAGAAGGTGCCTCTTCGATTTCTGAGATCGGCCCTCGTGGTCTCTGAGCAGCCCAGCTTTTTGAGAAAGCGAGCGTCTCTTCGATTGATTCGGAGAACGATGCATCTTCGATTTTTAAGAAAGCAATCATGATGGGGGTCTGGCTCTCGAGATTCGGGGAGCAGTGTCACTTCGATTTTTGAGAAAGTAATCATGTTGGGAGTCTGGCTCTCGAGATTCGGAGGGCAGTGCCTCTTCGATTTTGGAGCAAGCAATCTTGTTGGGAGTGTTTTCTCGAATGTGAGTAAAGGTTGGGCATGTTTGCTAGTCTACCTTGCCACGAAGCACAGAGGTTGACACACAAGGATTTTCGAATTATCCAGCAATGGTACTGTTCCTTTACCCTCTCTTCGATTTTTGAGAAAGTAGTCATGTTGGGAGTCTGGCTCTCGAGATTCGGAGGACGGTGCCTCTTCGATTTTGGAGCAAGCAATCTTATTGGTAGTGTTTTCTCGAGTGTGAGTAAAGGTTGGGCATGTTTGCTAGTCTACCTTGCCACGAAGCACAGAGGTTGACACACAGGGACTTTCCAATTATCCAGCAGTGGTACTGTTCCTTTACCCTTGTGGGTAATAATATGGTAGCTAGACCTTCAAAATTTATGGGTCTAAACTTTGTTAGTGCTGTTTCTTTGCTATTCTTTTACCTTTCTTGGTCAGAGCGATGTAGTGGGAGCTGCAAGCTTTACGTGCTCAATTTTGGCAGAGAACTTTGGCAAAGTTATATGTGGTACCCATGAGCTATTGTTGCGTGTGGGAAGTGGGTGATTCAACAGTAAGATTCATGTGTTTTCTACTTCCTCAGAAGTCTTCGACAGAATGCCCATAATTTCCGCAAAGCTGAGTGTGCGTGTGACAGGTGCTGACAAGGCTGGAAAAGTAGGTGTCTCTTCGATTTCTGAGATCGGCCCTCGTGGTCTCTGAGGAGCCCAGCTTTTGAGAAAGCGAGCGCCTCTTCGATTTCTGAGATCGGCCTTCGTGGTCTTTGAGCAGCCTAACTTTTGAGAAAGCAAACGCCTCTTCGATTTCTGAGATCAACCCTCGTGGTCTCTAAGCAGCCCAGCTTTTGAGAAAGCAAACGCCTCTTCGATTTCTGAGCAGGCGCCTCTTCGATTTCTGAAGATCCGTCGAGTGCAGATTTTTATAGGGGCTGGCATTAAGTTCCAAAGCACACTTGAATCTCCACCAGTAGAAGCTCCATTCTTGCACTTCTAAGATCTTGATTTGTCCAACCTCTTCTCTCTTCAACACCTTTGAAAATGTCTGGCCCCTCCGACCGTCGTTTTGACTTGAACCTTGTTGAAGAGGCAGCCCCGCCTTCTCCAGACAACATATGGCGCCCATCCTTCGTCTCCCCTACTGGTCCTCTTACCGTTGGGGATTCTGTGATGAAGAATGATATGACTGCTGCGGTGGTGGCCAGGAACCTTCTCTCACTCCCAAAGATAACAGACTACTTTCCAAACGGTCTGATGAGTTAGCTGTTAAGGATTCGCTGGCTCTCAGTGTTCAGTGTGCAGGTTCTGTGTCTAATATGGCCCAACGCCTATTTGCTCGAACCCGCCAAGTTGAATCATTGGCGGCTGAGGTGATGAGTCTCAAACAGGAGATTAGAGGGCTCAAGCATGAGAATAAACAGTTGCACCGGCTCGCACATGACTATGCTACAAACATGAAGAGGAAGCTTGACCAGATGAAGGAAACTGATGGTCAGGTTTTACTTGATCATCAGAGATTTGTGGGTTTGTTCCAAAGGCATTTATTGCCTTCGTCTTCTGGGGCTGTACCGCGTAATGAAGCTCCAAATAATCAACCTCTGATGCCTCCTCCTTCTAGGGTTCTGTCCAGTACTGAGGTTCCGAATGATCCCCTCCGGTGCCTTCTCTTTTTCTGGGGCTCTACCGACTGCTGAGACTTCTCCTAAGCAACCCTTGTGAAGGCTCCCTCTTGTTTGTTTATTTTGACTCATGTATATGTACACATTTGTAGCTTATCAGGGATATCAATAAATAAGTTTTCCTTCATTTCAACGTATTGTGTTAAATACACCAAAACCTTCTTCGCTAAGTTCTTTGAATTTTCTTTTGTTGAAGCTTGTATGTTGAAGCTTTCTGAGTGGAGCATGTAGGTTGGGGTAGTGTTCCCTCAATTTCCTGAGTGAGGAAAACTTCTCGATTGGAGACTTGGAAAATCCAAGTCACTGAGTGGGATCGGCTATATGAATCTTAGAACGCCATTGTGCTCGGTCCTGTGTCATGTCCTTCGTTAGATCCAAGTACTCTAAGTCTTTTCTTAGAGTCTCTTCCAAAGTTTTCCTAGGTCTTCCTCTACCCCTTCGGCCCTGAACCTCTGTCCCATAGTCGCATCTTCTAATCGGAGCGTCAGTAGGCCTTCGTTGCACATGTCCAAACCACCGTAACCGATTTTCTCTCATCTTGCCTTCAATTTCGGCTACTCCTACTTTACCCCGGATATCCTCATTCTTAATCTTATCCTTTCTCGTGTGCCCACACATCCAACGAAGCATCCTCATCTCCGCTACACCCATTTTGTGTATGTGTTGATGCTTCACCGCCCAACATTCTGTGCCATACAGCATCGCTGGCCTTATTGCCGTCCTATAAAATTTTCCCTTGAGCTTCAGTGGCATACGGCGGTCACACAACACGCCGGATGCACTCTTCCACTTCATCCATCCAGCTTGTATTCTATGGTTGAGATCTCCATCTAATTCTCCGTTCTTTTGCAAGATAGATCCTAGGTAACGAAAACGGTCGCTCTTTGGTATTTCTTGATCTCCGATCCTCACCCCTAACTCGTTTTGGCCTCCATTTGCACTGAACTTGCACTCCATATATTCTGTCTTTGATCGGCTTAGGCGAAGACCTTTAGATTCCAACACTTCTCTCCAAAGGTTAAGCTTTGCATTTACCCCTTCCTGAGTTTCATCTATCAACACTATATCGTCTGCGAAAAGCATACACCAAGGAATATCATCTTGAATATGTCCTGTTAACTCATCCATTACCAACGCAAAAAGGTAAGGACTTAAGGATGAGCCTTGATGTAATCCTACAGTTATGGGAAAGCTTTCGGTTTGTCCTTCATGAGTTCTTACGGCAGTCTTTGCTCCTTCATACATATCCTTTATAGCTTGGATATATGCTACTCGTACTCCTTTCTTCTCTAAAATCCTCCAAAAGAATGTCTCTTGGGACCCTATCATACGCTTTTTTCTAAATCTATAAAGACCATGTGTAAATCCTTTTTCCCATCTCTATATCTTTCCATCAATCTTCGTAAGAGATAGATTGCCTCCATGGTTGAGCGCCCTGGCATGAACCCGAATTGGTTGTCCGAAACCCGTGTCTCTTGCCTCAATCTATGCTCAATGACTCTCTCCCAGAGCTTCATTGTATGACTCATTAGCTTAATACCCCTATAGTTCATGCAATTTTGTACGTCACCCTTATTCTTGTAGATAGGCACCAAAGTGCTCGTTCGCCACTCATTTGGCATCTTCTTCGTTTTCAAAATCCTATTGAAAAGGTCAGTGAGCCATGTTTATACCTGTCTCTCCCAAAACTTTCCACACTTCGATTGGTATATCGTCTGGGCCTACTGCTTTTCTATGCTTCATCTTCTTCAAAGCTACAACCACTTCTTCCTTCCGGATTCTACGATAAAAAGAGTAGTTTCTACACTCTTCTGAGTTACTCAACTCCCCTAAAGAAGCACTCCTTTCATGTCCTTCATTGAAAAGATTATGAAAATAACCTTTCCATCTGTCTTTAACCGCGTTCTCTGTAGCAAGAACCTTTCCATCCTCATCCTTGATGCACCTCACTTGGTTTAGGTCCTTTGTCTTCTTTTCCCTTGCTCTAACTAATTTATAGATATCCAACTCTCCTTCTTTGGTATCTAGTCGCTTATACATATCGTCATAAGCCGCTAACTTAGCTTCTCTCACACAGCTTTCTTCGCTTCTTGCTTCGCTTTTCTATACCTTTCACCATTTTCATCGGTCCTATCCTTGTATAAGGCTTTACAACATTCCTTCTTAGCCTTCACCTTTGTTTGTACCTCCTCATTCCACCACCAAGATTCCTTTTGGTGTGGGGCAAAACCTTTGGACTCTCCTAATACCTCTTTTGCTACTTTTCGAATACAACTAGCCATGGAATCCCACATTTGGCTAGCTTCCCCCTCTCTCTATCCCACACACACTGGGTGATTACTTTCTCTTTGAAAATGACTTGTTTTTCTTCTTTTAGATTCCACCATCTAGTCCTTGGGCACTTCCAAGTCTTGTTCTTTTGTCTCACTCTTTTGATATGTACATCCATCACCAACAAGCGATGTTGATTAGCCACGCTCTCTCCTGGTATAACTTTGCAATCCTTACAAGTTATACGATCTCCTTTCCTCATTAGGAGAAAATCTATTTGTGTTTTTGACGACCCACTCTTGTAGGTGATCACATGTTCTTCTCTCTTTCTTAAAGAAGGTGTTGGCTAAGAAGAGATCATATGCCATTGCAAAATCCAAGATAGCTTCCCCATCCTCGTTTCTCTCCCCAAAACCATGGCCACCATGGAAACCTCCATAGTTGCCTGTCTCCCTGCCCACGTGTCCATTTAAATCTCCTCCTATAAATAACTTCTCCGTCTGAGCAATTCCTTGCACCAAGTCTCCAAGGTCTTCCCAAAATTTCTCCTTCGAACTCTTATCCAACCCTACTTGAGGTGCGTACGCACTAATCACATTGATAAGTTCTTGTCCTATTACAATCTTGATTGCTATGATTCTATCTCCTACCCTCTTGACATCTACAACATCTTGTGTCAAGGTCTTGTCCACGATGATGCCAACACCGTTTCTCGTTCTATTTGTGCCCGAATACCAAAGTTTAAACCCTGAGTTTTCTAGATCCTTTGCCTTACTACCAACCCACTTAGTTTTCTTGTAGGCACATAATATTTATCCTTCTCCTCACCATAACTTCCACTACTTCCATAGATTTTCCCGTTAAGGTTCCTATATTCCACGTTCCTAAACGCATTTTGCTCTCTTGAACTCTACCCTTCTGTCCTAGCTTCTTCACCCTCCCCCGTCTAATAGGATCAAAGTACTTCTTTTGTGTGTCCCGTGTAAAGTTGATAGGAGCATATGCTCCCAAACAACTTTGAGTGGAGTCGTTCGAAAAGAAGTTTCTATGGCCCCCTTGCTCATTTAACACTGCATCCGGGTGCCGATGAAGATACAGCGACCCTTGCTCATTTATCACTGTGCTCGGGCCACACAGCGCGCCACTTACGGGTGACGCCCTAGCTTTAGCGCGATTTTGTTCTGGATTCATTTTCATAAGGATTCGACGTGATCATGGAGTGCCGGCTGTCGACTACCTGACGCCCTCCCCCTCCTCCTTTATAAAGCACAAGACACCATGAGAAAATACAGGCCAGATTGCAACATATGGAAACGAAATTAACAAGTAGACCCACAAAAGTAAGACAAGGCGTCAAAAGAGTAAGAGGAAATCAAGCACTGAAAAATTCAGAAGAAAGAAAGAAGGTATCACCATCTTTAGCCTCCGCAACTCTCTACGAGCAACTACTCGTCTCCAACCACATTGTATGGCAATAGCTGCATTCTTCATCCTCAAATAATGAGCATGTGCTAAGTGTTTCCGGCAATGACTCTGTAATAATATTCTGAATCAATGGGTAAAACAATAAAAGCATAAAAGAGATTACAAAATAAAACCAACAGACAACTACAACGACCGGCCATAAACTAAAGAAAACCTAAAATATAAATTTCCGGATCAGGATCTGGTACGTTTGGTTTTCTCTTTTGATAGCCTCTCTCTCAATAGGGATTTCTCTTCTCTATCACATGAATTTGGGATACAAAACAAATCAATAAAATTTATTCGTTTTGATAAGCTTAAAGCTTTTTTATAACACATTTCCTTATATTGTACAAGAAAAAGAAATTGTATTCAGATATTCAGCAAATGAAGAAACCCCGAAAATATCAGAAATCATTGCTATACTAAAAAAGAAATGTAATCTTCACCTGTATCACAGTTGCAGCCCTTGTTTTCTTCCTGGAACTAAGCTCCTTACGAGCAGCCAACCCGCGCATACCAATTTGAATAGACACAGCTGAAGAGCACAAGTTTTTATAACCATTCCTAGAAAGATACGAGCGACCATATTTCTGGATAATCACAGAAGCAGCTTCCCTTCTCATGTTTTCATATCGGTGGCGTGCAACTTGTCCTGCAATCAGTCAGAAAACAAAAGTTTTAGTAACAGATCTTGGGCTACAAGGCAACAAATCTCCAAGAAGCACAAGGTGAAAATTCTTCCTTACCTCTACATAAGCCTTGGATTTGGATGGCAGACAACCGCAACAAGACAAATTTTTTGCGACATAGGTAGGAGCGAACTTTTCTCTGGATAACACTAGCCGATCTTCCCAATACCTCACTTCTATATGCATCTAGTTCTGCCATTTGACCAGCCCTGAGGAACACTTTTGTTTTCCCAACCTGCAACAGGAACATATCAGAAATATTGGCCTTGTTAACCCTACAAAAGATTATAGGTCAGGATCATGTAATGATCGGTGATACAAAGCAGCTTGACTCCTGAAAAAGTAGATTTTCCAATTGTAGTGCAGTAGCTCGGTCTTATGTGACAAGAAAAACTGCCATCCATTTTAAGCAAATGTATGCAGATAAACAACTACTGGAGTGGAAATATAATGAGTTCCCACTTAATCATTTAACCATTTAAAGAAATATGATAACATCTAACTTTAGCTCCAGATAACGGTGTGAAAGAAACAGAACTGTTTGAAATACCTGATATCCCTTGAGGTTGACCTTTTGTAATAGCTTCTTGCATGCAGTGACCTCATCAACGCTGAAAATAATGAATTAAGAAAGTTAACAGAAGTTTTACATAAAAACAAGAAGAAGAAATCCTGACACTAAAAAAAACAACTATGAAAACTAGCCTACAAAACAATAGAATTTTCTCCATAAAACAGGACCTTAAGTCCAAAGATATTAGAGTATCACAGATCAGTTGTTTTCCAACTAGTGAGAGCTTCTAGACAAGATAAATGTTGAAATTCCAAATATATTGAAGCCCAAAGTGATGATTCAAAACTAACTTTCCCTTGCAACTCCTCCTCTATCCCAATATAGTTTTCAAAAAACTTGTTTTCCCGCAGCCATAAAACTGTTATAGTTTGTGCTGCATATGTAGTCCATTACTCTTGTACAACATCAAAACACACCCATAAAAATGAAAAACAGACAACAACATAGATACATAGTTGTAGCAGTGTGTTGCATAAATCTTTGTAGCAAATATATAGAACATTAATCATGTTGAGTTCATTGTGCGGTCAATGCAATCAACTGTTGCAGGACACCCACGAAGTTCTAAATGGGTAGTGCGTGATGAAATTGAGGTTCCACCATAAAACCAATTGGCAATATGGAGAGTAACCCAAGACCATATAAGCACATAGCAAACCTTGTCCCTCACTGATGTGGGACAACTCTCAACACGCCCCCGCACGTGTGGCGGATTTTCAAGCTTACACATGGACAACAACTGGGTGACGTGGAGCGCGTGTGGTTGTTTGGCTTCACAAGAGGACAACCCGCTCTGATACCATGATGAAATTGAGGTTCCACCATAAAACCAATTGGCAATATGGAGAGTAGCCCAAGACCATATAAGCACATAGCAAACCTTGTCCCTCACCGATGTGTGACAACTCTCAACAGTGCACATACAGTGCATTCATTTCATTGTGTTAACTACAACACGTAGTCAATGGGATCAATTGGTGGAGACATCAATGATGTGCCAGAAAGATAAATAGATAGATAGATAGATAGATCGATAGTCCATTAATGCAGGTTGGGAATTGTGGGATAAATTCTAGTCACCAATAGACAGCTACATGCATCAAAGCATTACAGAAAAGCCCAGAGTCTAGATTACCTTACAGATGCATGAAAGCAAAGAATATACATATACATATATATAGCCCACTTACAAATGCATGAAATCAAGAATACACACACACACACACACACACACACATATATATATATATAGAGAGAGAGAGAGAGAGATTAATTGATGTTCAGAGAATTTGGTGAAACTACCTTCCATTTAGAACCTCAGGTGCCAGAATTTTAAAACGACTTGTAAATTCTCCAAAGGTCTTTCTAGTTGGATATCCAGCACAACTAATCCGAATGGCCTCCATTACTCCCTGGGATTAGATACATAACAATTCAGGTTGCATTATTGTGCAAGACGTAACTGGTAAGATTTTTTTTCTTTTTGGGACTACACAATATGCTTACCCCACAGCAAAGCTGCTGTAAAACAGCGCTATTTTCAAATATGGCAGGTTTGAGTTGATTATTTGGCTTTACACAGCGTATGTAGTGAGGCTCAATGGCACTTAGCGTTTCAAGCAATGATTGCAGTTGTTGCTGTTCAAGAAGATGACAAAGAATAAAAACAAAAGGAACATAAACAAAATTTAACTGATCAGTGAGCATAAGCTTAATTAGAAATTTGGAACAGAAAGGGACCTTGAATCGAGAACCTATTGATGAGAACTTTGATTGTTTGGCAGATTCTTCGGGTAAAGGAGGGAACAAGCCTGAAACAAAAGGGCATTTGGAGGCACTAAGGAGTGCTTGATGCTCTGCAACAACATAATCTTTGTTCTTATCCAGGAAGAACTCTGTTTGATAAGTAACCTGAAAACCAAATTTTCCAACGACATAAATATCAAGCAAGTTGATAACTTCTCCATGGTAGGATTTGATTAGTCTGATGCAGTTTGTACAAGAGGTTAGGGTTGAATTCAAAACTTACATCACCGGCATAATGGCAAATGGTAAAGTCGGTAGGCGACAATTTTGGCTTGTTAAAACGTTTATGGTCTTTAAAAGTTTGATAAAGCTTCTGTGAAAATGTTTCATGGGTTGATCTCGGGAACATACTACAAAGAATAACATAAGCTTGTCACCAAATCACAAGAAATAGATCAAAATACTTCCTAGTAAATAGTCAACAAGTTGGTACTAAGGAGGGGGGAGGGGGTATCGTATTAATTTTTATATTCCAGTGCATACCAAGCCTCATCCAGAAGAGCAAAGATGCCACCGGGCTTCTGAAATAATAAAAGCATATATCAGAAAAACAAAACACGATATTGCAAGCAAATAAAATAATATGTTTAATTCAAAGAAATGAGCAGACCTTAATTAAAATTATTGAAAACTGGCATACCTTTTCAATGAGATCAAGAACATCCTGATTATCGATGAACTCTATGTAACTCCAATCAATTTCTTCTTTAGTATATTCTTCTTGCTCCATCTTGAACACATGCTGTCAAGCAGAATGTTGACACTTAATTGAGTAAATGAGAGTAGTCTGGAGGATACAAGAATACCAAAGAATACTTATTATGTATCCATTCCCACACCTGGTTGAAATGCTGCTGCAATTTTTCATTTGTCAAATTGATACAAAATTGCTCAAAGCTGCACACCAGTTAACAGTTTTGAAATTAAACACGAGAAGTGAACTCAAGACTATAAAAAAAGCAACCAGGCCAACCTAAGAAGTGATAAAGAACAGAGCTGTCACAGAAATGTGTGGGCAGTTAATTTTTGCATGAGTGGATAACACATAGAAGAAAAGGCCGTGATATTAGTTTAAAGCTTTCTGAACCAGATGTGATAGCACGAATAAAACACTTAGAACATTATTAGAAGCAAAGGCTGTGATATCAGCTGAAAGTTTTCTGAACCAGATGTGACTGTACGAATAAAACACTTCAAACATTGTTCAGGATTTTGGCGTAAAGGACAAAAAATCTCTGGATTTAAATGGCATCATACAGCCACAAAGGGAGAACTTTCTCGATCAAGATCCCAATCCAAAAAACAGAAGGAATCGATGCGGTCCTCTGCAATAATTTAACCTTTTAAACGATGAAATAAAAGCATACCAGTTAAGCACCTGTTTGTCTTGAAACTCTCGAATCCATAAATATCCAGAACTCCAATCAAATATTTTGAATCAGGATCCTGACCAATAGTGTTGTTTATCTTGTTCACAAGCCTGGGGCAATTAGTTCACCACATTAGGAAAACATTAAGATTATATCAATGCAGAAATTTTTTTGCTGAATGATGAACTAACTAGTATATTCCTAAACCTACCAATCAAATAACCTTGAATAAACAATTTTGGCCAATGCATCTCTACTGATGGCTGCGGAATCTGGATCTAAGCTTTTCTTTATGGTCTCATCACGGGTCACCATCACACGTTTGCACAGAGAATCTTCAAGAGATTGCTCATCACACCTAACATAGATTGTAGACAAAAGCTCAGCCATTTACTTATGAAAACATCAAAAACCACATGTGGATATTTACCAAAAAAAAAAACATATAAAGTAATGGACACAAACATGAAAAGTTCAGCAGCAGTTTTGAGATGGAACCGAGAGTTATCATCCTTGGGTTCAGAAGAATCAGATTCATTCCCCTTTGCAAAGTTAACGTTGCCTAAATGAAGTATTGCAGCTACAACTCGAAATATTCCATCCTAAAAAAAGCAGAACAAAAGTCAAAATATTTGATAGAATATTTAATGTTCATAAGCAATCCAGTGACATACCTGCTCCTCAGAACTTATCCCAACCACATCCATAGCTTTCCTAGTTGTGAGATACTCCTCTGAATCGTCCACCCCATCCAGCTCATAGCAGTTGGACTGATTTAAATAATGAAATGTTCTCGGATTTCCCAATTTGTACTTCTCAACATCCTGAATGTGAGCACAAAAAAACATGCAAATGTTAAATTTATATGAAGAACTAGTTATGTCATTTTGATAATGAACTGTTCTTAGGTTAATTTCGAACTAAACTCCCACTCTAAATGACTCGGAGTGACACTACCAGCAACAAAAAGTTCACATGAACGCACCAAACAGCTAGTAACAAACTAGAAATCCATATCAATTTTGGAATAATGAGCACTGAGCAGTAGGATAACTTAGTTAATACAATTAGGATCTATATTATCCAGTGATTTTCTGGTTTTTTTCTAATTCTAAGTATTTACTTTTTAGCCAAAGAACAATTAATCATGGCTTTCTATTATAGAACCAGACCATATGAAGAATACATTGTATGTGTATAGGAGATCATTTCACCTCTGGAGGTGCAGAACAGAGCATATAAAAGCAATGGTAATTTCTCTCTGGATCAGATACTTGACAAACTCTGGATCGCTCCAATAAATAAGTTCTAATGGCAGCTCCTGAGATTCTCCCTGTTTGATCAAACTGAATCTCCACGAACTTACCAAAACGACTGCAGTTATGTTAAGCTCAATCAGAGCGGAAATTAACCCAATTGACTAGAAGATACAACAGAAAGATATACAAACTGCTCTCAATAATAACCTTCCACTGTAAGATTAGATATCCCATCAGATTAGACATACCATCATACTTATAAAAAATAATTTTTACTAGTAATCCTGGTAGAAGAAAAAGGAAAAAGGTTCCCACCTGGAATTATTGTTTCGGACAGTCTTTGCATTACCAAATGCTTCAAGAACAGGGTTAGACTGCCAATAATAATAACATAAAAAATAAGTGAAGAAATGGATTTTTTTACTAGCGCAAGTCACTTCCCAAAGAAAAGTCATGAATAATAGACATCTCAGACAACAACAAAAATAGAACTGTAATGCTAGTTCCAACTGGATGCGTAAGAACATCATAAACTTGTTACCTCCAAGACTTGCTGTTCCACAGACCGCCCCTCAGATACAGCTCTTCCACCCATATAGGCAAGATAACGCATAAGCATCTTTGTACTCTCTGTTTTCCCGGCTCCACTTTCCCCACTGACCAAAATTGCCTGGCTTATTCCCTCGTTAATCATCTGTCTGCATTAAAAAATAAATAAAAATTTATTTAAGTTGCACCACACAGTCAAAAGGTGAAGCCAATGGCAAAGTTCAATGAAGTACCTATAGGCAGCATCAGCAATAGCAAAAGGGTGTGGGCTCAGCTCACCTAAAGCCACACCTTTATACTGTTCCATCATATGATTATCATATAAATGAGGTAGTCTCCGGAAGGGATTCACAGCTATCAATATACTTCCTGTATAAGTCTGGAAACACAACTACGGAGTTTAGCTCTGTCTGCAATCAAAGTTATAACTTTGAAAATGAAATTGTCAATCACAGTATTGACTGTGCACAAAAAGTTAATCGATTATCCATGTTTAAAAACCATAGCTGAGAGGTGAAGAGAATGCATTTTTTGGCAAATAAATGACATAGATGACCTTAAGGAATTCACATATATTTGAGGTCAAAAGGATTTAAACTAAAATAAATCTACCAATCAGTCAACCAAGCGGGGGTATGTTTGGGTAGTACTCACATATATTTCGTTTACACAGTATCTACTTTTTAAATTCTGCAAAACCCCTGGTTCATGCAGATAAGCCAACTTAGTCATATCATCTACACCACATTGAGGAAATTCAGGATCCTTTGGGTAGACACTGGATGCTTTGGCTGTAACCTACAACAAAAGGGGAAAAAATAGTCGATGAGATGATCATGATATTCAATAATACACAAGGATGATCAGTCACTAGTTTTCATGTGTGTGTGTGTGTGTGTGTGTATGCAATAAATATGATGGCTCTGTCTGTGTCAAAGGAAACGTAAAATGAGGAACAGGAAATACATGCAATCAAATGAAAATTGTGTCATTATTCAATCAACAGAGAACATTATTTGATTTGAAGTGGATATATTATGACCCTAAAACATTCTACCAATCTAGTAAGTACTTTTAACATTATTCGGTATCATTTTTCCTACAAACATGATAGGTCTTTTAAGTCCTCTAAGTGATACTTCTTCATTTACACTTTTTTGGTGTGTTAGCTATTATACAGCTAACAAAAGCAGAAGCAAGGCTCAATAAGATTTGGAAAACAAAAGCAGCACTGACCGTCTTCCCTGATGTACAGTTTATTTCAATCTCTTCATCATTGACTCCTACAACTTCGCCATCAATCCAGGCTTTCTCAGAATCCTCGACCCAAACATGAGATCCTACTGCCAAATTGACATTGGCAGCCTGTGTGGACAATGAAATAATCAGCACGTCCATAAGAAAGAGCAAGCCAGATCTTTAATTTTAAAATCACCAAGAAATCGATACACATCAGACTTGAATATCAAGGATTAGACAGCAAGATTATGATACACTTATAATTCTGAACTCAAAATAAGATTCTACAACAAAACTGTGACGTGTTCCTCATTTAGCATACATTGCATTTGAGATACTTAAGAATTGCATTCCAATTGAAGAAAGCATCACACGCCTTATCCAGGAAATCTAAATGCTGGATGCACTTCTGGTGTAGCATCGATAGCATCCATGCATATGGATAAAAGGTGGACTTACAGTTTTAGAAGATCTTTTAGAATCATAATCTTTTCAATTGTCAAGGTAAGAATGAGTGAACCACTAAATATGTTGTAAAAAGAGACTCAATATTTTATTTTTCTTATTGATAAATATTCCATCCAAATGAATCAATAAGGCACTGCCTTAGGACACATGAAGCATGCTAGGGAGTAGCATTAGTGTTTCAAGCCAGACATCCATTTAGTGTCATAATGTCACAATTCTGGCTTGCATCAACTTCACTTCATGACTGAGATTTTTGACCGCTTGCATTAACCTTTGCTTCATGGCTGGTAGGTTAATGCAATCCGAACTCCTGCAATGGCAACAATGCAGCTCTCTTTTACGCCAATTATGTCGAGAAAAGCTAGTAGCGTTATCATGGCGAAAAGCCAATCCTTCAGTAAAATATTTCCAGCCCGACTATCTCCTCTCCTAGTTTACTCTAAATTACTCAGAAAAACAGCTAATTTCAATACATTTACTAAAAAATATGAACTTGAACAATGTACATATCTTAATTTTGGTTTACCACGATAAAATAACAAACATTTCTGAAATTTTAACTGCCATAAACTATAATCAAACAGTTCCTACCCCACGTTAGCTCACTGAAGCAACAAAATAACGCCCATTTCAGCTTAACTGAGCGAGAATCAAGTCGCATTCAGAAAACATCAATGCATTGACCTAGGATTAAGAAATTAAATTGCAAAAGCAGTAAATTGTTCAAAATTTAAATTATTATAGAGAGAAAATTCAAAAACTTGGTGACCAAGAAAATGGGAGAAAGATACCATTGCGGACGAAAAATCTGATTAGATTCAGATCCGAGGCCGAGCTCCCAAAACCCTAGAATCCCTCAGCAACGGCCACGACCCAATGCCGAAAAAACCATGGATTCTTCACTTCAGAGGGAACCGTACGAAGAAAATCCACCAATGTGTGCCCAAATTATCGGTTTTTCAAATTTCGGAGCTGCAGCAGCACACGTAAGAGGACGACAATGTCGCTCCGACTGTACGGAAATCGCGGTGATAAAACTGTATCTGGTGTATGAGGAGGAAATGGAAGAAGGTGTCTCAAATGGGAAATGTTGTTGCAGAGGGGTAACAATGGCGGACCTTTTATCCTCCCTGAACGAGAAAGAAGAAGATCCTCTGCAACTATTTTCCCTCTGATTTTCTCTCTCGCTCGCGCTTCCTTCTGCACTCTCTCTTCCTCGCCGTTCTCTCCTCGCCTTCTCTCTCTATCTCGCTCGCTCTCGGCCTCTGTTTCGCTTCTGTCTGCCAAATGCCTAACAACATGAACGCGTAACTCAACATTAAATATGAAGTTACCGTATTAACCTTGGCTTGGTCATTTAATTCCGATCAGTGCCCCTTTCCCCAACCTTGTGGAACTACTGCTTTTGTATGAAGTATTTATGACCACACAGCATTGTACGTTAATTACAAATAGTTAGAAATTTTATTTTGTATCCAAATGGTTTCAAGCATGTTTTCTCTAGAGAAAATAATAAATAAATATAGCGTGTGTTTAATAAGAGTGTGTAAGCTCAAGTAAGTTCTAACAAGATGACTTCTCATCTACATTTCATTTGAGACGTCATTTTTCTTATTCTTAGCTTTCTGAAAATATATACTCACTAAAGTATGTGTATTTTACATTTTATCATATGATAGGGATGAAATTGGTGAAAAAATTGAGGTCTAATTGCTATATTTATGACATACTTAATTTCTAACAAAATTAGGTTTAGGCATGGGCGGGTTCGAGAGTTTGCCTATATTGTCCAAATTACAAATTTGATAAAATTAGTTATAAATGGTCCTAATCCAAGTTTTGAACAAAGATACATTTACACGAAAAATGTAGGGACTAAATCGGTTGCGAACTTGTTATTTTCAGTATTTAAAATATATGTACCAATGAAAATATCAATATGCAAATTTGTGAAAATATTTATGGACGTATAGAAATCGATATTGTTTGCCTACGATGGAAATTATGGAAAATTGCTCAAAAATGTGAAAATTTAAAATTATGCTTTAGGGAATGTCATATGTATGAATTAAGAATTAATGATTAAATACTATGTAAAAATAAGTATGTGATATGTGAGAAGAAAAATTTCTTTTTAATGACAAGTAATACAATTAAGCATCTCATTAGAATGGATAAATTATACACAACATAATTGAAACTTTCATCATGAAAGCAACACAAGTCTTATTGAATTAAACTAATACCATAAAGAAAAAAACTAAACCATAAAGAATGCATCAGCCTAGTACTTCCAACTGCATCAATGCCTAACCCGCTTCTCTACACTAATCTTGGATGACATGAGTAAAGACATCTTCGCCGATAAATGGGCTCAAGTATGTAACTCCATCACATTCTTGCACATTGCCTCCATCATTAAGTCCCTTGTCTTACTCCCCACCACCATCATCATCTCCGTTATAATTTCTTCCACTGGTAGCAGTACACTTTACAAAGAAAGTAATTTATTTCTCATCACAATACACAATGTTCATATTACACTTTACAAACAAAGTTATGTAGTCCTAATGATATTCTTCTTTATTTGTAAGTGAGATGTCTTAGATCCGATTATCCCCAAAACGAATTTGAACGACATTATACTAGCTCATATTGTTTGTTCAACACAAAAATATAAAATAATATATAAATATTAATTTCCAACAACTAAAGAAAACAAAAATTTGGAATTACGTAAAGTAAAAAGTTGAAAAGTTCATATTTGGTATAACCACCCAATTAAGTAAATGTAACTCATTCAGGTAATCATGTCAAAATTGGTTTCCATTTCGCATCTTTTCCTTTCAAGTGAAAATTCATTTTCATCAACAAACTAATGCCACTGTTGTTATTCTCTCCTAGTCCCAAGGGCAAATTCGCAAACTAAACCCGCCTTCTCCTTCCCACCAAACGGGGCACAACACAACTACTTCCCGCTGGTTTAGTTGATTCTGCGGGCCCCGGGGCGGGGTAGACGGCCCAGATCACTTCCTTTTCCGATCCAGGACCTTTTCTCTTCTAGTGAATGAATGTTCAGTCACTTTTGAACGTCGTTTTATCGCTTCTGTAACCATGAGGACACGTGTCGTCTCGTCAGCTGTCATTTCTCTGTGGAGATAGGGTGATGGCCGTTGGATTAGTTGGAAAATAACGGTTTGACCACCACCTACGCGGCAATGGTAATGTGATGAGGACTCAAACATGAAAGCGAAGCACAAACATTAGGAGCGCGTTTACTAATCCGTAATCAAATTAAGAGGAATTGAATTGAGGAGAAATTGAAATGAGGTGGAATCAGAATCAGATTCCTGTTGAAGTTGTTTACTAAAACTGTCCGGAATCAGAATACAATTCCATAAAACTGTTTATTAATTCAGCAGAATCGGAATATAAACTAGTTTGATTACTAAAATACCCTTGTCTCAAATCAAATATTTTATATACTTTTTTAATAACATTTGATATAGTATATAATAGTAAGAAAATTTTTAAACATTTTAAACCAATTTCACACTAGTATATATGTTTTAATTTACTTAAAATTCTAACTTCCATATGTTTATTTTCAATAGAACCTTTTTGTTTAATAAAGAGTAAAAGTTGAACAGAAAAAAAGAAAAAAAAAAGGTTAAGCTTCTGGAACCTCCACAGTTCCACAAAACCCATTATTCTCTCCCTCTGCATCCTCCTCAATTTGTTTCTCCGATCATCCCCAAACGCCAACTCTTGCCACTCCCGACGCATCAACCTCCCTTTGCATCTCTCTCTCTCTCTCTCTCTCTCTCTCTCTCTCTCCTCTTTCGGATTTGGATCTAGGACTATCGGGGATCTGTTGGGTAGAATTTTGAGGTGGGTTGGTGATGGGTATTGGCAATCTGGGAGGTGCTGCGATGGTGTGCGTTGGTTCAGGAGTGGGGATGGATGCGCTTTGGGTGGTTGAATCGCAGAAGGCAGAGGGAGGAATGGGGATGGGTGCACTTTGGGTGCTTGAATCGCAGGAGGCAGATGGAAGGGGTTGAATCTAAAAGGGTAGTTTCGGTTGAAAATTCTGATTCCGGATGTTGGCTTTCTTTCGAAATTCAAATACCTCATCGAAGTCGGTAATTCAATTTCGGGAATATCAGGAGTTTGATTCCTGATTTTGGGTGGAGCCCACTAATATTTTGCATTCCCAAAATTTGGTAAACGTCGGAATCACCCACGAAAGAATTCGATTCCCTTTCTTCTACCTTCACTCCGGATGCGTAAACACGCCATAGATCACTTCCAGTGTGGTGGAGGCCCCCTAGGGCTATCCAGGATGTTATCTACCAAGTGAACAATAACTACCCTTAATAAACAGTAATTGTCTTTTGCATCTTCACCCCTACACTGAATAGCCTTGGCAATTGGCAATAAAATATTAGTATTTTTATTTATTTATAAAATAATACAAAATAATTTTATTTGTAATTTCGGATAAGATTTATAATCGTTATCGTTACGTCACGTGTCATTATCCGAAAAGACAATTATTGGTGATGAATTTCCGATAAGATTTATAATTGTTCTCGGTGCGCTACATGTAATTATCTAAAAAGACAATTATTGGTGATGGATTTCCAATAAGATTTTTAATCATTCTCGTTGCGCCACGTGTCATTATCCGAAAATACAATTATTCGTGATGGATTTCCGATAAGATTATTAACTAATCACGTCGCGCCACGTGTCATAATTTGTTTACAATCTTTGAGGATAGATTTCCATCAGATTTTTAACGAATGATGGCATGTCACGTGGCATTATCTACAACCTAATCATTTTTGAATCCTCCATATAATCCACCATCCATCCTCATAAATCTCACACTAATTTTCTCAAGATCTCTATCATTATTCATAGTTTCTACTTCCTTCTTCACCAAAATCTCTATCATTATTTTCTGCTTCCTTCTTATTATGTCTTCTTCTTCAAGGATGATGTGGGAAATCGATCAACAAGAGAAAGAATTGTTTAACCAATCAGAAGGAATGTTCAATCTCTAGGTGGCCCAAAATGAGATGGAAGATGATGAAGAGCGTAGAAGGAGAGATGACGAAGCAAGAATGGCTAGAACCTCATATTCTCGTCGAGTCATCCAAGTTGTGGCTCAAATCAGCAAGCCCAGCAGTTCTGCAAACCTTGATAGAAGCAGGCAACGACGAGGTACGAATCTCTTGGACGATTATTTAATCCGTAATAGTGCATTCCCTGATACGTACTTTAGACGTCGTTTTAGAATGATAGGACATTTGTTTAACAAAATCATGGGCGATGTTTGCAACCATGATTCTTACTTTATGCAAAAAAAAGATACTTTTGGTGCTATAGGTCTCCGGAAACCTACTGAGATGGACTTGCAAAAGCTTCTGAAGAAGGGTGAGAAGCGAGGTTTTTTCTGGGATGATTGGAAGCATCGACTGTATGCACTGAACCTGGAAAAAACTGTCCAAGTGCATGGCAAGACGCTTATGGGGATAGAAAATGATCAAAAAGTATTATTTTGGAGACGGTGACATCTTTTGATACATGGATTTGGCACGCATTTTTCAGGGTTCCGGAAGCTCAAAATGACCTTAATATCCTTGCCCAATCCCCAGTGTTCAATGATGTTCTGCAAGGAAAGGCACCAAAAGTCATGTAGTAGGTCAACAGACGTAAGTACGACGGGCCATACTACCTAGCAGATGGCATTTACCCAAGGTGGTCAACGTTTGTCAAAATAGTGCCACGTCCGTGAAGTGCAAAGGAAAAACACTTTGCAAGTTGTTAAGAGGGGTGCAAGAAGGATGTGGAACACTACAAGAAAACATGGATTAGGTGACGGTATTTTTTGTGGCGCCAAAAAATTTAGCACATTTGGCTAAAATGAGTGAGGCTTTTTTAGAAATTGTCACATAAAGATTTTCACAAACACCAAAATATTTTGCGTCACATAAACATTTTGAATTCGTCACAAACTATTGGGCGGAAAATTTTACCGCCAAACGAAATGTTAATATGTGACAAAAATTTTACATTCATCACTTATATAAAGAGTAGGCCAAGTAATAGTCAATTCATCACTTATAATATTAAAAGTAAAAATTAAAAATATTGAAATAATAATGTCTCCCAAATTGTAAAACCTAATAACCTATTTCATTTTCCCTTAAAACAAAAAACCTATTTCGTTCT